TAACCACTTGGCCACCACCGCCAATATATATATATATATATATATATATATATATATATATTTACGGTTCTGTCTTTACACGAACCAATGTGTGTATCCTGTGATACTAATACAGGATGATAATAATCACAAGTGACAGTGGAGAATCAAGTCCAAATGTTAGAGCCATTCATGCCTCAATGGAACAGGGGAGAAGGGGGCTTGGATCCGGGAATGAAATAGATTCTCAAATCGAGGAAATGATGCAAACCGATTGGGGCAATACAGATTTGTGCCACACTGAACCGGGGACAAATAAATGGAGGTAAACAGGTAGGCACCAACAGAGACATTCGTTCGCTCCAACACGACCGGCGCGTGTGAGCACAAGCATTTATGGTTAGGCATGTTACGCGCTCGCTCGCGCGTACTCAATCACTCAGGGGCTTTTTGCATAAACAACAACAACAGAAGTGACAATGATGATGATGATGGTGCATCCAAACCGTTGGAAATCGAACACCCGTACCGGATGAACCAAAATGACAACACTGCTTGTAAATCGATTTTCAACACACAGGAGTAAAGGTGACAAAGATACGAATCCAACTTGGAGCAGATTTAGTCTCTCACGTTTGAAAGCGAATGAGCGCGCGTGTAAGTGAGTGGGTATGGGGGCTGGGAAGACCGGTAACTCGTGGTCACTGCTAGATGGTATCCTGGGCTTGGAAATTCGATAATTCAATGTAGAATAACAGTGATCACAGCAAGCGGATGGACCAATCGGAACCCATAACACAGAACTGATCGAATTTACGAAACTGCTCATATGGCTTCTCCGCTCATCGAAAGAGAGAGAATTTAAGTGACCGCGATAGCAAACAAAAGACTGCGAACAAGTTAGAAACCAGAAGAACCGGTAGAATGGCTATTTCCCTAAGTAAAGTGATTTGTTACTCTATAGGCGAACTGCAAATCATGGTGTGACAGATTCGGGGACGAACACCTGTAGAAGAGAATCAATTGCCTGAGCCGACGCTGTGGGACAACTAACTGGATTCACCAGATCTCAGGTCATAGTACACATCTACACACACACACACACACACGTGTGTGTGTGTGTGTGTATAGAGGGGCGGAAAGGAGGGGATAAACAGTCAAAATAGACTCACTCACCTTGCAACCTTCGCACGTGAGTGCACCAAAATGAAATCCAGAAGAGCGACCACCGCAAACACGACATGGAATGTTGGAAATATCGAGCTCTGGTTGAGAGTCCGGATCTGCACGTGGGTGAATACAAGATACGGAAACGCGCGATCCGACGTTGGAGGGAAAAAGAAAGACGAGCGAGCGGGAGAGAGTGAGTGAGCAATCAATGATAAACGACTGGAAGAACAGATGGACATTCGGGTAAAGGAGACCATTTCTTACGGGTTAGTATATCAGCCGAAGTTTGCTGGGTTTAAAAAAAAACCAAGTTTGACCGGTTTCCGTTGACATTCGGAAACAACGAGTGCTTTACCCGAAGCCAAATCAATTAACTGGTCGAGGGGAGAATCTGTGAGTGTCTAAATGCGCGTTCGATAAACTGTTCCCCAGTCCCACAGTGACGAGGACTAGGAGTTTCAATGTAAAAACAGTCGAAACTTTGAAATTACGAAACAGACTATCGCATTCAACTAGTGAGTAATGAACGATCTCACAAGGAGTAAAATCCACACCCAAGACGGTCAAGAGTGCCTAGTGTCTGTGAACAGTCAAATCGGCTAATCCAGGCTTGATACTCTGCACTATCAAACAAACAATTGGTAAAACAGTAGGCATACACAGATTGACCATTAACCGCGAGTTTAAGTGGAACGGCACATCATTAGATTGCAGTCAAGCAATTAGGAAATCAATCACTTTGCGGTGATGTGATTTGTTTGTTTGCGTATCGACCAGTCGTACAGAGAGCTGTGGCTATAATGAGTGGTAGAAATAGTGAGTGGATAGGAAAAAAATGTTCCCTGATTGTGAATGTTTTCTTGTTGTACCCATGGGTATTGGAAAATGGGGATTCGGCGAGCATGTGATCGTAATAGGTCAGGTGTATAACGCTCGAATGTATTACATGGTACACAGAGCGGACGGACGGGTGGGGGGGGGAGCAGTGTTGGATGGATTACGGAACACGCATTCATAGTCACTCTTCCGGGTTTTTGCAGACCAGTTTAATCGCTCTAGACAGAGACAGGTCATGATGCACATGTCATCCCATATAATTTTCATGTACGCTTGTATGATTGAGCACATGGGTGTACACCCAATCGACACACACACACACACGGTGAGGGTGTGAAATAGCACTGATTCAAGACACTAATTGCCGCCCGGGTCATGGAACCGTTGTTGGTTTGTGCCCTGACACAGCACAAACATCAATGATCGAGTAACGATTGCCAGAACAACAACCACAACAACAGTAATAATGATGATCATAACAATAACATGGATGAAAATGTGAATTGTGTAAAGTGTGAGAGCTAATATATTATCTATGCAGCGAAAACGAAACGATCGGGCTATTGTAACCGGGGGATTGTCAAATTGTTTGTGACGTCCTGTAGATAAAATAAGATCCCGATCAAATCCGTATCGAATGGACCACAGACAGACAGCACGAACAGGACAACAACGATTCGCCCACAAGCTGCAGGGCCTGCAGCTTCGTGAACGCATATGACCTGGTCTGTCGCGTTCGCTGTGTCACGTGCGCTTGTCCTCGGTCAAAACAGACCGGATGACCCATATCGGCCCACGACCCGTCCGCTGACTAGGCCATCGTGCTCCCCTTCAACCCCAACCGCGCATCGATCACTTAAGCATACCCACACACACACACACGTACACAATAACTGGGGAGAGAGCAAATGAAGGTGAACACGACGACGACAAAACACGGTTCAGACCGGTTGGTGTTGTACACGAGTATTTGCGCGTAGCATTGGGCGGCACGGACGCACCATTAAGCATAGTCTGTCGACACGTACGCGAACACACACAAAATATACAAGGGAGACAATCGCAGCGGACAGCCACGGTCGGACGAACAGAACCCAGAGAATGAACGAACAATGAAAAGCGTCTGGCAGGTTGGTTCGCCCAACCCTGGACTAACACAGCTGTGCTGCATCAGTGCTAAAAAACAAAAACAAACAAACAAAGTGAAAACAAAACGTCAACAACATCAGAGTGAGCCAGCAAGAGAGAGCGAGACAGCACAAACCGGTGAATGAAAGACACATTACTGAGGAGGAAACCATGCGCAAATGGTCTGAAGTAAAATGTGAAGAAGGTTAGGTAATTTGGTCAAGTCTAAACTATCACTGTTCGCCCAAATGAGAGGATGAAAAGCTAATATCCGGGGCCATAGGCAGTTTGATGTGCCATGAGCATCCAGAGAAGTTCGAACCCCCACCCCTCGTAGGGAGAGACAAACTAGACTGCGGATTGACTGATCGCGGTCACTGGATACATTGGGTGTGTTCGATATCCCAGACACGTAACATCAGGCAGGTAGGACACTGGGTCTCAAACGAGTTGTGGCCATTCACACACTTCCCACTATTGGGTGCGACAGGTTTTGATTGGTCGAAGACTACACGATTATAAATCTCTAAGGGGAAAACACCAGCAAATCACATTCTCTAACGCAATTATACACCTTTTTCAAAGTTAGATGTTCCGGTATCAACTCAAATTATTCGGTCCTACGCAGACTGTCTGAAAAGCCTACTCCAGTCTCCAACCACACACTGATCACGCGCACACATCTGAATTGAACTGATTCACTACAATCTGCCTCTGTGTTAACCCCAGTTACCTGACCGCGGTGATCACATTTACAGTCAATCAGTTCAAGCGCCGTGCAGCGCCGCACGTAAGCATTCGTGCATCAGAATGGAATAGCCTTGAATTCTAGCAACCCGCAGTATTCCGGTAGTCAGGGACTTGTCTTTGCACTGCGCAAGATATCACGCGCATATAGAATAGGAGTTCAGTTCAGTTCAGTTTGTATAACCATTAACCATGCCTTATCGTGCGGTGGTTTTGGTTGCTGTCTTTTGGTCGCCCATTGGGATGAAGAATAGGACCTTGCGAGATACACAGGATGGCTTTTCACACCCGTACATCCAATCATACCTGAAAGGTCA